ATCCCTCTTCTCCCGTTTCGAATCTCGACTCTCCCTTCGAGGGATGCCCTCTTCTGTCCACCCTGCTTGGGCAAATCCCTCCTCGGCGATCTCCCCCTCTGCGGACTCTTTTTCTTTTTTGGCTCTGGTCGAGCCACTCCCTCCAACTTGGCGAACTCCATCTCCATTTCCTCCAAGTTGATATACTTCCTGCATCGCTTCAGCACATCCTCATACGATCGAGCAGGGGTTTTCGCCAGGGAAGTTTGACAAGGCCCTGCTCGAAGACTCCTTATCAATCCGCCCGCCTTCACCTCATCTGAAGCCGAGTGTACCTCTAAACATGTTTGGTTATATCGAGCAACATACTTCCTCAATGATTCTTTCTCCCCCTGCCTCATCGCCATCAAAGTCAAATACGTTTTCTCCTGCACCACCGCGCTCGAATATTGATTGATAAGCTTGCCAGTAAAATCCTCAAAGCTCGGGATCGACCCAGGTGGCAGTTGGTGAAACCAATCGAGTGCTCCTCCATCAGAGTACCCATGTAGCACAGCCATATTTTCAAAGGTCCTCACATGCCTCGATGGGTCAGATGACCCGTCATACACCAAGTTGGTCTCCTTGAAATTGTTTGGCAACGGAGCAGTGAGAATATCCCTTGAAAAGGGGTGTCCTCGAGCTCTCCTCTCTGGCCTCCCCTCCACATTATCTTGTAATTGGCGCAACTGCTCCGCCATCATCTCCATCGCACGATCCCTTCCAGCTCCTCCTTCTCCATAACTAGACACATCATCGTCTTGGCTTCCGGCCACCGTGGTCGGCGCAGTGGTGGCATGAGAAGTATGACTTGCAACTTGCTGCACCGCTTGCGCCGCCGCGGTCGCCGCTATCCTTTGCATCTCCTCCCGGGTCATTGCCACCATTTGTTGGCCGGGGATTTGTACAGCTTCCTGTGGTGGCATTCCTCCTTGTGCCAGCCCTCCTCCTTGCCGCTGTATTGGATCTGGTGGTGGTGGTGGCGGCATCGCCTCTGTCGCTGCTACCCGAGCCTCCTAGGCCTAACTGGAGCTGGCGTCTCCTCCGGGAATCCCCGCCGTCACTCCTACACCTTGGAAGTTAGGTGCGGGCGTGATCGGAGTCTGCGATGGGCCAGAAAATCCCGGAGGTGGGTCGTGCCCTAGCGGCCTGGTCGTCGTCCAAGCTTCATCGAACGTCGACTGTAAGTTTTTAGGAATTCCGTCCGCCATAGCTGAGCTTCAAACACAACTTTTGAACAGTAATCCCCACAGACGGCGCCAATAATGCAAGTGTAAGCGTCTGGGTCCGGTTTGGAGTAGATCGGTTCTTGTCCTCGCCGGTAGAACGCCAGAAACCTGCAAATAACTCTCACACTGGGGGTTGGATCCGGTGAAGAGCCTCCGATGCTTAAGTCAGTATGTGTATGAGTATACTGGAATTGAGAGAATAAATAGAATGTGTTAAGGGATAAAGGCTCGCCCCCTTTATATAGGGGTGAGATACCTGCCCTAATAGCTGCCCGGATAAAGTGAGTTGGCTGCCCAAGCTGCCTGTCCGTACTCTGACACGCCGCGCACATGTCAGAGGTGGCGGAGGGCGTTGGGGGTTGTCAGAGGTGTTTTCCACCATCACCCAATACGTTATCGACACGTGTTGTCCCAGCACATGGGCTGAATATTCTTTGAAGATTTCGGTTAGAGGCTCTTACGCGCGCCTACGGTACACGCGCTCACAACTAGGTCGATTATGGGTTCCTCGATGCGATCGACCTGCTGAGGTCGAGTGGCTTGCTCGATCATGTGTCTGGTCGATGCATCTGGTCGATTATCTGAATATTTGGCCTTCCCGCCCCTTTCGGTTTGTTTCTCCTCTGTTCAGTTTCCCCGACCGGCCAAGTAGGCCGGTTTATCCTTGAGTATATAATATCCCATATCAAACTTGAACATGAAACTCAATTCCTCCTACATAAACTCAAATATACTTAACTTTTACCAACATCAATACATGAGTCATAAACTTGTCTTAACTTGCTTGGCAATGACAATTATAACTAAATTCTCATACAAATCATAACATTCCATCATGATAATAATATGCAAGACATGAAACAAGTTATATAAAATTGTGTTCTCAACATATCACTTCACTTATTACTTGATAATACGAAAATTTCATATCAATTACTAAAACATCAACATGAGATAATTACTAAAACATCTTATCTAAATTTAAAACTCATGAAATTCACTTTACATGCTAAACTTGAAACAATGCATAAAATTGCATTTTTACATATTAAAACTTAATCACTTGAAAATATGAAAATTCCACATCAATTATTCTTAGAACTTTGACATGAAACATATCATATATATATATATATAACATCCAAACTTGGTCATTTTACTCATGAAAGTTTACCATAAAATCTTTTCTTTAAAATAATATTCATATCTTGAGATATATTATTTCAAAGTTGAAAATATAACAAAATATTCAAATTGCTAGCATACTTGTCTTTAAAAAAAAAAATCTATTTCTCATGCTACAATTATCTAAAATTTATAAAACTTTAAATCATAAGTTTCTACTAAATCAAGAAATATCCTGTAAATTTTCTCATAAAAATAATAACCATAAAGTGAGATATGAATTTCCAAATAATGCTTCTCTTGTTGAAATTCGAGATTTACTCACTTATGTTCATTATTTTCTATAGCATGCAAAACAAGTCTAATAAATATAAAATTTAAACTGGAAGTTCTTAACTAATATATAAATTGACCATAAAATTTCCAACATAAAATAATATCAATAGATAGGGTAATTGCATATCACAAGTCATCATTACTACACAGATTTTTTACTGGACAACACCTTAATCAATGATTTTTATAAATATCATTTTAACTTCAATTAATCTAACAATTTCCAGTATTAATCTCCACATATAGATGATCTTATATAATAATTTTCTTAACTTCTAGAATTTAATAGCTTGATCAAAAACAAACAAACATAGGCAGTTGCAACATGAACTTTAAATAATCTTACTTTATAATCTTAAATTATATATTTATATATATAAAATTTATAATTTCTAACATGATAACATATCAAAAACACATATAAACACTTATAATTCTTAGCTATACTTGGTGATAATAAAGTTTGAAGACATACCTCTTCTACTCTTAGGAAAAGAAACTTGCTCCAAGCACTTCTCGAAATTGCTCGGTTTCTCTCTTAAATACTCGATTCTCACTATTTTTCTCTTATAACATAAATTCTGAATTTTTTAGGTGTAATACTAACATTGAAAAATTCTCCTATTTATAGGAAAATTTTAGGGGACAAGTACCTTCAAATTTCAATTTAATATCATTTAAATATTAATTTCTACAACAAATATGCTAAATAATGTCCCACTCTAAATTTTTAATATAGTTGACTAATATTATTAAATTTTTCAGCTTAAAAATTTTATAAAATATCATATAAATGAGTCATCATTAATATAAAAATCAAGATGCTTCAAATGATGAAGATTCTACAAAATAAAATAATTTCGACAATTTATTTTTTATTTTCCTTTTTAATTTCGAATTTTCTAATAAAATCAGAAAATAATTTTTAAAAAAAAATTATTTTTAACTTATATTTATATCTCTCATAATATATAAATCATTTACAAATGATTTAATGAGGAAAAATATGCTTAAAATAATATAAATATTGTAAATAGTGGAATCTACCACTAGTCATTTATATTATTATATTAGAGTGTCTTAAACTGTGTGCCAAACTTAGCCTATAAAAGGCAAGTGATATATTGCAAAGTGATGTACGAAAAAGAAGGAGAAAGAAAGAGAGAAAAGCTTGTAATAATTTTGATCCGGTTTTTACATTGTGTTCTTTATATTCCCTGTATTTTATAACACGTTATCAGCACGAGCACTCTACTCGGTCAAGAAAGGTAGGATATATATACATATTACTATTATTCTTGACAAGTTAGGCTCTGCCACAGTCAAGGATATATATACATATTGCTATTATTTTTGACAAGTTAGGCTCTGCCACAGTAAAAAATATATGTATATTACCATTATTTTTGACAAGTTAGGCTCTGCCACAGTCGAGATATGTATACTAAATATGATATTATCTACACGTTACCATTATTATTGACAAATTAGGCTACGCCATAGTCAATAATATGTGGTGATATGATATTATTAAATTTGCTTATGAATTATTTTTCAAGTTATAATAAATGTTATTATTTATACTTAACACCCACAAAAATGGTTTACCCAGTAATGTGGCGTGAAATTTATAACTGTTTATTCTTGTACCCACCGTAAAATTTATCAAATAATGTGGAGCATTTTTTACTTGCTTTGTTATATTCGCGAAAATGTTCATCAAATAATTCGGAAAAATCTTTAAGGTAATATACATGATTAATTGGAGTTTTATGATCATAAATTAATTAGCAAATATTATATCATTAAATTTGTTTCCAACAGCTAGTTAACGGCTATATTGTAACAGCTATTTACCAATATCTATATATATCACTACAATTCATTTTCATAATACAAACACTCAAAATATATTTTCTTTATAAGAAAAAAAATGTTTGATCCATTACTTATAATTACCATTATCTTGTTTATTATATATGTTTTCCTAATTTTCAAAATGATGTATCGTACTGTTGGATTTAAATTTTATGTATTAGGCCTTTGTATAATGTGTTTAGTCTTTGCTCTTATGTACGTATTGAAGAATTAGTGATTGTATATGTAACTTTTCGAATCTAAGCATTGGTGTTTTATTTTATAGTTATCATGGCAAATCTGGTCAAACTCGAATTTGAAGCTCTCGATATATCTGGGAAAAATTATATAGCATGGACATTGGATGCCCAAATTCATTTGGCGGCAAGGGGATTGGAAAAAACAATAATATCACCAAATGATTCATTAATATAGGATAAAACAAAAACAATGATATTTCTGAGGCATCATTTGAATGAGGCTTTGAAAAATAAATATTTAACTGTTAAAGATCCTGCGGATCTATGGAAAGCCTTGAAAGAAAGGTATGATCACCAGAAAATGGTGATTCTCCCCCGGGCTCGTTACGAATGGATGCATTTACGCTTCCAAGATTTCAAAACTGTTAACGAGTACAATTCGGCCATGTTCCGCATTTGTTCGGTATTGAAATTATGCGGAGAAAACATAACTGATTATGATATGCTGGAAAAAACGTTGTCCACGTTCCACGCTTCAAATGTACTATTACAGCAACAATACAGAGCAAAAGGCTTTGTAAAATATTCTGAATTGATTTCATGTTTGCTGTTGGCTGAACAAAATAACGAGTTGTTGATGAAAAATCATGAATCTAGACCCACGGGGTCTACTGCGGTCCCTGAAATAAATGCTGTAATATCTAAACAGGGAACCGGAACTGAAAACAGCCAGACATATGTGCGTGGAAATACCTCGGGACGTGGCCGGGGTTGTGGACGTGGACGTGGCCGTGGCCGTGGATATGGCCCAGATCGCCGATTTGACCAAGGCTTCAAATTTCACAGAGGGTACAACTCGGGCCGAGGGAATTATCGTGGACGAGGCCGTGGCTATGTCCAAAATTTTGAAAGGGGGAGAAATTTCCAGCCAAAATTTGAACAAAATAATGTGACGGAAAATAATAATGAAAATGCATGTTATCGATGTGGAAAGACGGGGCATTGGGCATGAAACTGTCGTGCTCCGAAACACGTGGTTGATAAATATAATGATTCCCAGAAATCAAAAGATAAAAATGTAGAAACTAACTTTATAGTTGGGGAATCCTTTGCAAATGATACAACACGTGTAGATGATGACTATGGCATCGATGACATGTTGAACCTAGATTTTGCTGATGCAATAATTGAAGACAGAGCTGGAAATGATCAAGAGAATAACTGATGATCATGTTTTTGTTTTTATTACTTTCTAAGTTTTGTTGTATTTGTGTGTTTTTACCTGTATTTCGACTTTAATCAATAATAAATGTTGTTTTTCTTTTAGATCATGGATCGGTCTCGAATTCAAAATGGAGATATATGTCTTGCAGATTGTGCCACAACTCATACTATACTCAAGGACAAAAAAATATTTTGTCGACTTGAAATTAAATAAAGCAAAAGTAAACACAATATCTAGAAATGCAAAGATAATTGAGGGTTCTGGAAAAGCCATATTATTTATGGCAGGAGGTACAAAATTTACATTGAATGATGCATTATTCTCCCCGAAATCAACAAGAAACTTGTTGAGCTTTAAAGATATCCGAATGAACGGATACCATGTTGAAACAATGAATGAAGGGGGAGTTGAATATCTTTGCATTACCTCAAATGTTGCGGGAAATAAATGTGTTTTGGAGAAATTGCCAGCTTTATCATCGGGCTTATATTACACCCGCATTTATATTATTGAGACTTATGCTACAACAAAGTCACAGGCGAATGAAATGTTTAAACTTTGGCATGATAGACTTGGTCATCCTGGCTCGATAATGATGCGAAGAATTATTGAAAATTCTAGTGGACATCCGTTAAAAAATCAGAGGATATTGCAAACACGTGAATTGACATGTAACTCATGTTCTCAAGGGAAATTGATAATAAGACCATCACATACTAAAGTCTGGCATGAATCACCATTATTTTTAGAAAGGATTCATGGTGATATATGTGGACCTATTCATCCACCTTGTGGTCCATTCAGATATTTTATGGTGTTAATTGATGCTTCTAGTAGATGGTCTCACGTGAGTTTGTTATCCACTAGAAATGTGGCATTTGCTAAATTACTTGCCCAACTTATCAAATTAAGGGCTCAATTCCCAGATTATATTATCAAAAGGGTCAGACTGGACAATGCTGGAGAATTTACATCTCAAGCATTTAATGATTATTGTGAGGCAGTGGGAATTGATGTTGAACATCCTGTAGCACATGTTCACACTCAAAATGGTCTAGCAGAATCATTGATTAAACGATTGCAGCTTATAGCCAGACCATTGATAATGAGGACAAAACTGCCCACTTCAGTATGGGGACATGCTATTCTGCATGCAGATAATCTAATTCGCATAAGACCAAGTGCACACCATACATACTCGCCATTACAGTTGGCATCTGGTCGAGAACCAAATATTGCACACATAAGAATTTTTGGTTGTGCAGTGTATGTACCAATTGCTCCGCCCCAACGTACGAAAATGGGGCCTCAAAGAAGGTTGGGAATATATGTTGGATATGAATCTCCATCAATAATAAAATACCTTGAGCCAAAAACAGGTGATGTTTTTACAGCTTGGTTTGCTGATTGTCATTTTAATGAAGAATTATTTCCCCCTTTAGGTGGGAATGAAAAGTCAATTGAGAAAAACATTGAATGGAGAACATTATCACTGTCATATCTTGATCCTCCCACCAAACAAAGAGAGCAAGAAGTTCAAAAGATTATACATCTGCAGAATATTGCAAATCAATTGCCAGATGCATTTACTGATACAAAAAGGGTGACAAAATCACATGTTGCAGCTATAAATGCCCCTGCTCGGATTGAGATTCCAAAAGAAATGGCAAATGACGATGTGCCAAATGAATTAAAGGCACGATTGAAACGAGGAAGACCAGTGGGGTCTACAGATAAGAATCCTCGAAAGAAAAGAGAAATTCAAGATTCGAATTTGAAAAAGAATCAAGATGATGGAAAATTTTCAAAACGAAATGAAAATATTGAAATCTCCATCAATTACGTATATAATGGGAAGCTTTGGAAGCGTGATGAGATCATTGATGATGCTTTCGCATATATGGTATCACAAGAAATTGACAAAGAAGTTGAGGATCCTGAACCAAAATCTATAATAGAATGTCAGAAAAGACATGATTGGGAAAAGTGGAAAAACGCTATTCAAGCCGAATTAAATTCGCTTAATAAACGAAAGGTTTTTGGACCCATAACCATTATACCCAAAGACATAAAACCTACTGGGTACAGATGGGTTTTTGTCAGAAAAAGAAATGAGAAAAATGAGATCACAAGATATAAAGCTCGCCTTGTAGCACAGGGATTTTCCCAGAGGCCTGGGATCGATTATGATGAAACATATTCCCCTGTTATGGATGCGATTACTTTCAGATACTTGATTAGTTTGGCCATCCATGAAAATCTTGAGATGCGTCTTATGGATGTTGTGACTGCTTACTTATATGGATCACTAGACGCTGACATTTATATAAAAATTCCAGAAGGAATTAGAATGCCCGAAGCACTAAAGTCCAAACCTAAAGAGTTATGTGCGATAAAACTGGAAAGATCATTGTATGGCTTGAAACAATCCGGGCGTATGTGGTATAATTGTTTGAGTGAACAATTACTGAAACGTGGGTACATAAATAATCAAATATGCCCGTGTGTTTTTATAAAAAGATCACAAGATGGAGTTGTGATAATTGCTGTCTATGTCGATGATTTTAATATTATTGGGACTACAAATGAAATTCAAGAAGCAGTCACTTTACTAAAAGGCGAGTTTGAAATGAAAGACCTCGGGCAGACCAAATATTGTCTCGGCTTGCAAATAGAATGGGTCCAAAATGGGATATTTATCCATCAATCTAATTAGACTAAAGAATTCTGAAACGATTCAATATGGACAAGGCAAATCCACTTAGTACCCAAATGGTCAATCGAACATTAGATGTTGAAAAGGATCCATTTCGACCTTGTGATGAAAATGAAGAAATACTTGGTCCTGAAATACCATATATGAGTGCAATAGGGGCTCTTATGTATCTTGCAAATTGCACCAGACCAGATATATCTTTTGCTACCAACTTGTTGGCGAGATATAACTCGGCACCTACAAGAAGGCATTGGAATGGAATTAAGCATATATTCCGTTATCTCCAAGGGACAATCGATTTGGGACTGTTTTACTCTAACGATAAAAAACATGAAATAGTCGGTTTTGCAGATGCAGGATATCTCTCAGATCCCTATAAAGCAAGATCTCAAACTGGATACGTTTTTACGATTTGCGGGACTGCATTTTCTTGGCGTTCCCAAAAACAAACGTTAGTTGCGACGTCTTCAAATCATGCTGAGATCATTGCACTTCATGAAGCAACTAGGGAAAGCATCTGGCTCAGAAACATGACTCAACATATTCAACAAGCCAGTGGACTATCGAACAATAATGACCCGACGGTGATATATGAAGACAATGCAGCATGTGTCGCTCAAACAAAAGAAGGATACATTAAGAGTGACAGAACTAAACATATCCCACCAAAGTTATTCCTATATGCGCAAGAGCTTGAACGAAACAAACAAATCAAAGTTCAATACATCTGATCAAGCGATAATGCAGCAGATTTGTTTACGAAGGCGCTTCCGACGACAATATTTCGAAAGCACGTGCACAATATTGGGATGAGGCATCTTCGGGATTTGCACGGATGATAATTCTAGGGGGAGTATGTGCGGCTGTACTCTTTTTCCCTTATCTAGATTTTTTTCCCACAAGGTTTCTCCAGATAAGGTTTTTAACGAGGCAGCATAAACGCACATTTAATAGTGGTAATTTCAAGGGGGAGTATTATAAATAGTGGAATCTACCACTAGTCATTTATATTATTATATTAGAGTTCTTAAACTGTGTGCCAAACTTAGCCTATAAAAGGCAAGTGATATATTGCAAAGTGATGTACGAAAAAGAAGGAGAAAGAAAGAGAGAAAAGCTTGTAATAATTTTGATCCGGTTTTTACATTGTGTTCTTTATATTCCCTGTATTTTATAACAATAAACACTTTATTTTCTAATAATAGCACAAATTGTGAAAATTCACAATTAATTAAAAATTATGCTATTCTTAATATATAAAAATCCATAATAACTAAAATTTTATATTTAATAAAATTTAGATATAAATAAAAAAATTTCGGAATCAAAATCGGACATAAATTCCATTTACTATTGAAAACCGAAGATTTTATTATAATCTGTACTATTCTCGATTATGAATTTTTACCTTAATCTTGAAATACTTTACTTATTATCTATACTCGATTAATTATTCTTACTAATTTACCTTTTAACTTTTTACCGTAGTAATTAACTTTTACTGTGGTAAATAAATTTTACTGCAGTTCATAAATTTTTACTGTGGTAAATAACTTTTACTGACTTACTAAAATATGGGATATTACAATCTACCCCCATTAAAACTATTTCCGCCCTCGGAAATATTTAAATTGGGATACATACTCAATGAGTATATATCATAACTTATACTTAATATTAACTTTTCGCTCCCATATGCACTTATAATTGATACGTGAAAAAATTACACATACACCCAACTCGGGTGTTAAAGTTAAATGATAAAATACTTATTCGTTCTGGAATTTTGAACGAATATTTATACAAAAATGCAACTTACTTCAAAATGACACTTTGCCTTCAACATGGCACTTTGCATGCGATTTACCCACTACCCGGGGCCCTTCGGGTGCGAAACATCTACATACGTATACTCACAATGTCAATATCACTTGCAAAAATGTTAGTAGTCCTACTTTACTGAACTTGCTTCTATATCGGAAAATCTTCTGATCAAGCACTATCATCAGTACTCAACTTCAATATATCTTCAAGAA